TTTACCAATGCTATAAACGAGAGAAGACGTTGCCTGAACTTAAAGGCTTTAATCACCAAATCTCTGACTAACATGGCGGCCAACTACAACCTTAGAATTGCAGGCTCATGTATATAATTAAGTCTATTCACACTTTATGTACAACAAAACGAATTATATGTCATGCAACACACGCAGTGTTCAAGTGTCTCAATTAGCTGTCAATCGCACCACAACCAAGTTGAGTGAGATCGTCTTTCAATGCGTGGGAAGCAAAGAATCTGATTGGTGTTCAGAAATACATTGTTATCATGTCAATTTTAAAGCATGTCACGTAAAGAGCACTGCAGTAACGAAATTTACGGTCATTTCGCATTAACATTAAATTTGTACTTGTTTTTGAATCCCAAACCCTCGGCAATAAGCCGAATCCTATTTGTTGTGAAAAAATTTCCCAAACTTTTGTGGCAAATACTGAAAAATCGCTCAGCTTATAGGTGAAGAAATACGGTACCTCCCTTTGGGTTGATTCCTGCCCATACGTGTACTTTAAGTGGATGTTTAGGCTTTGGTTTTCTTTTCAATGGCTTGTCGACCTTTTGGTAGCATATAAGTCTGTATTGTTCCAGAAAGACTGAGCATTCATCAAAGAATATGACAATATGGAATGTATCATGGGAATCCAGGATTTTTTGTGCATACTCTAGTCTTTTCACCTTATTGGCTACTCTTATCAGTTGACAGTAATGGTTGTGCTGCAGCGTCCATCCCTGTTTGGCTCGCAATCTTCGCACTGTGCAGAAGTTCACAACGATTCCATGCTTGGCCAGTTGTTTTTGAATCTGAATGCTTGTTGCCTCATTGTTTATATGCATTTGCTTTTCAATAAAAGTTTTTGCATCTGCTGAAAGCTCTGTTGGCCTTCCTGATCGAGAGCAGTTTTCAGTGGATCCAGTTTTCTGTATTTTGTTGATGATCCTGGTGACACTTGCTAGGCTTGTGGATTTTCACATCTCAAGGCTTTCAATATTTGTACAGGATAAAATCCTTCCTTATGGAGACAAGCAATTCTTTTTCTTGTATATGAAGTAACCTTTGGCATGATTATGCTAAAACTGACTGTCAACAGTAGTCTCCCACAGGCACATTACATGCAAATACAGTTTGGTTGCCATGGGGATGCAATAACGCATTGCGATGCATTAAAAAAAGTAAGCTTTGCACCCTCCCTGAGTACTGTTTTCACATGCTGTCTTTTTCTCGCTCTCACTATTCTCATTTGTTCGATAGTATCAAAATAAATATAGTCTTTATCATAATTTGTCTTATTTTGTGTGATAGTGAACTTCCTTAACTGATGTGCAGCATACAAGTGGGAAACTTCAACCATAGCGGACTCTGTATGTAGCGAAACTGGCTTATATTCATTATGCTGCCCTTTTCACGCTGATAAAACAGACTTCAAATAGAATGATACACTAAGTTTACTTTCCTACTCACTCAGACAGTATCAGTCTGATGAAAAATTTGCCAAGTGGCACAATGTTGCCTCACCGATCTAACACTCAGCCATGGCGATATCTTACCAATGCAAACGATATATCACTAAGCTGCATTGATATGTCACTTAGTTTAAATGAGATATTGTTAGGTACAGCTGTTTCGACAAAGGTTGTCCAAAGAAAGCGTTAAAGCATACATGACAACGCCCGAAAGGTAGTCTGGGAAACATCCAATAAATTTCAATAAAATCTCAGAACAATGCCTCGACCATACAGCGAAGACTTGAGATACAGTACACACTCTTTATTTAAAGAAATAAATGGTTTACAAAACTTCATGTCCTTCAAATAGCTACAATGCTAATCTAGGCAGGACAAGACTTTAACTAAAGGCGTTAT